TATATATATATATATATATATATATATATATATATTTACCTGGCCATAGCGACCATATCACTGGTATCATCTCTAACAACACTAACATTTCTTTCTGAGGGTTTATATCCAGCTAGGAAAGGGGGCAATATCTGTCTGCATATAACATGTTCTTTTTCTGTTTCTTCTGTTTCTTCTTCGTCAACTGAAACCTCTCTTCTCTGCCCCGCCCCCCCTCGACTCATCAACAGCTCCTCCCATAGTTCGTTGTCTCGGTGCCGCTGCAGCTCAGCCAGAGAACGGCCGGGGGCCCCCCCGGGGGCCCCCCCCTTCAGACTCTTCAGCTTCTCCTCCTTCGCCTGGTGACGCCCGTCGTCCTCCTCGTAGTCCCCCAGCTGCAACCCAGAGCAGTCGTCGCGGTCATACCTGAGGTGTACATACACCATAAACCCTAAACCCTAAAATATAAACCCTGAAATATAAACCATAGCAGATACAGCTTCTTTGTTATTTTTTTGTCCTTCACTGTAGTCTTTGACTAGTGCTGCACTACCTGCTGCTCCTGCTGCTGCTGCTGCTGGTGCTGGTGCTGGTGCTGCTGCTGCTGCTGCTGCTGGCTCACCACATCCTCTGCAGGGCCCTTTCAGCTTCTTCTTCTTCTGTTGAGGGCACCGACGTCGCCAAGCGTCTCTTCTCCCCCTCAAGAGCTAATTCAATTGCTTTCTTTCTCTCTTCCTGTACCTTTGGGTCGACGGGGGGCCCCCACCCTGACTGAGGGGGCCCCTGGGGGGCCCCCTCAGCTTCCTCTGCATCCGCCCAGCCTGTGGCCCGTCGGCGCTTTGGGGGGCCTCCAGGGGCCCCATCTCCATTAGAAACCCCTGCTGCTGCTGCGGGTGCTGCCGATGCTGCTGCTGCTGCTGCTGCTGCTGCTGCTGGTGCTGATGCTGCTTCCTCTGCTGCTGCTGCAAGCTCAGCAGCGCGACGAGTAAGGAACTCCTTGTGCGTCAGCGATGGCTTCATACAAGGCCCAATCTCCTGCTGCTGCTGCTGCTGCTGCTGCTGCCGCCGTTGGCGAGGCCGAAACACAGGGACTGCAAACGCCCCATCGCTGCTGCTGTTGCTGCTGCTGCTGCTGCCGTTGCTGGCAGGCACTAGCAGCCGCCGCTGCTGCTGCTGCTGCTGCTGCTGCTGCTGTGGCCGCGGCTGCGGCTGCGGCTGCTGCGGGAACTGCAGCTCCGGGGTCACTGGTGTCTCCTCCGCCTCCTCTTCATCTATG